GTTTAGGGTTTAGGGTTTAAGCCCAGAGGCTCCAATATCCCTTAATTCAGGAATATACCTTAAATCATATTGAGGATCCTACTATAACTTAAGGAATATTCCTTAATTAAGGGATATTGGAGTCTCTGGGTAGCATGACATTCGATGATGTGTTCCAGCATCTGCTGCTTCGATGAGAGGTACATGTTCTTGGGTGTCAGGTTCTCGGCACTGCTCGTTGAGCGACCTTCCCTTCGCTAGGGGTCTTGAGTCTTGATTTCGTGTCATCTCAAGCCACTTGGGCCTTTCCGAAAATAGGGTACCTTATTTTGGGGTCCTTAGAATAAGGATCCTATTATTTAGGGTACCTTATTTTAGGGTCCTTAGAATAAGGGTCCTACTATTTAGGGTACTATATTAGGGTCCCCTATTTTCGGAAACCCCCCAGTTGACTTTCCCCAGAGTAGGCAGGCCGGAGCTGGGGTGGTGTGGATCTTCGAAGCCAAACTTGCCTTGGGGTTTAGGGCTTAGGGTTTAGGGCTTAGGGTTTAGGGCTTAGGGCTTAGGGTTTAGGGTTTAGGGTTTAGGGTTTAGGGTTTAGGGTTTAGGGTTCAGGGTTTTGGCGAAATCTGGCCGCTCTCTCCCCGCAACAACCTGCAGAGCCCAACCGGCACGAAGAAATACTTAGAACACTGCGGCAATGGGAACAGCACTAATGATAGGAATAGTAATCATACTAGAAGCAATCATCAATAGTATCCCAATGAGTTGCGACGAGCAGTGATGGCCGTTGCCGCCATGACATCTAGGTTCCTGAGTAGCCCCTTGATGATAAGGGTACCCGTTTGTCCTACTGTTCGGTTTTAAATAAGAGAACCCAAAAAGAAGCGGGGCAAACGGATACTACTTAGGAACCCAGCCACAAAAAAACCTATCTCCTAAACCCCTACACCCCTAAATCCCCGAACCCTAGCCCCAAACCCCAAAACCCTACATCCTAAACCCCAAAACCCTAAAACCCTAAACCCTACAGCCTAAAACCCCAAACCCCAAAAAAATCCCATAATGATAGCCACGGCCCCCAAAGATTCAGCGCCGGGTCCCAGCCTCGGCGGGTGCAGCCTCCGCTTTGCCGGTCCTCTTGAGACGCCTCCTGATCTGATCGGATCATACGGCTGATGGACAAAATCCTGCATGATCCAAATATAGTGTTAGTACCATAATTCCTATAGTTTAGGTCTTTAGGGTCATGCAGGATTTTGTCCATCAACCGTACTACAGCGCCACTAGGGGGGTTTAGGGCTTAAGGGTTTAGGGTTTAGGGATTTAGGGTTTTGGGGTTTAGGATTTAGGGTTTAAGGGTTTTGGGGATTAGGATTTAGGGTTTAGGGATTTAGGTTTTAGGTTTTTGTTTGACGGACCTTTTCTCACCACAGGCAAGAAGTCAGTACGACTAGGTCGAACCCTGTGCAGACTTCACCGTCATGACCCCGATGAACATCCCACTGGGGTTTAGGATTTAGGGTTTAAGGGCTAAGGGTTTGGGGTTTGGGATTTAAAGGTCTCAGGGTGGGTACTTGTCCGAGCCTCTTCACTGCCTGGAGGGGTTCCTGCACCGTGGAGTACTCCACTCCGACCTGTGCAGCCGACACAGATACTGCTAGGGTTTTGGGTTTCAGGTTTAGGGTTTAGGGTTTAAGGTTTAGGGTTCAGGGTTTAGTGTTTAGGGTTTAGTCCTGAAGAGCACCCAAATCACGCGAGATTTGTAGTACGTGAGGCGAAAGCTACGCATCGCTGGCTTGGTTCGCTGCGGTGATGGTCTGTGAGTCTATAGGTCCTCCTGCATCGCTTCTTAAGAACGTAGGATCAGCTTTAGGGTAAGTTTAGGGCTCACTTAGGTTGAGGGTGTTGAGCTTTAGATGTTCAGTTTAGGGTTCGGGGTTTTTGTCAGGTGGTACAGTTGTGGTAGGTTATAGGGCGCACCGTCGTATTTTGCCCTTTGAGCGGAATGCATCGGGCGAACAAGAAGGAGTACGCGTGTCGAGGCCTTGTCCCGCATAACATAACGTGACATGCCACACACACACACACAAAGAGATGCCAATAGCATGGCTTCAAGTCGTTAGGATCGCCACACCTTGAACTGAATCTCAATACCATGACATCCTGATGTTGAGCCCTACAACCTAACCGGCCCATAGCGGCACTAACCCAAGCCTCTGGGCACTTAGTTCGACCCTTGAAGCGCTCGAAAGTACCACATCGTCGGGCGCCTCCGCAGGATCAGCCTCTTCGATGAAAAGGCCCCCTTGCATTTCGAACTCCTCCACTTTGGAAAAGTGCGCCGGAGGATCCAGGCCCTAAACGGGGTTTAGGGAGTTTAGGTGTTTAGGGTTTAGGGTCTTAAGGTTCAGGGTTTAGGGGTCTAGGGTTTAGGGTCTTGAGGTTCAGGGTCAAGTTCAGGAGTTTCGGGCATGTCACTTAGGGCCGACACCTCATCCTGCAATCTCAATGAAGTCGGGACCGAAGGAAGGCCCAAGACGCATCATGCTTACACCGCCATGGAAGCCGCTCCTTCATCACGTCTAGGTCGAGTTGGACGGTTTTCCAGCCTGTGTGGTATAATCTCGTAGAGGGATGTCATACAGACAATGGTAGAGGGAAGCAGCATGATCCGCAGTGGTCTCTCTTGAAGCAATGACGACAACATGTAGAGTGTAGAGGCTCAGTGTATCTCAGTCTCAACTGCAGCTCCATTCATTCATCGTAGAGTCTTGAACTTGGTGAATGGGAGTTTTTCTCCGGCCCAGGGGTGGGAGTCTAGGCGATGGGCGCTCCACAATGCACAAGCTGCTTGTTGAAACGAGCCCTAGAAATCCTGCTGTAACCCTAGACACATCCTCTAAACCCTGAACCAAAAACAATAAATTGTTATTTTTATAGACTTATAAGTACTATAACCCCAATTAGGGTCCCTTTTAGGGTACTTCCCTCAACCTAAACCCTGCACCCTAGACCGAAGCCCTAAACCCCAAACGGCCCTCAGCTCTTGGAGACCGCGCCGCTCTTCGAGAAGGCTGGGTGCGACCTCCTCTCCTGGCATCGACAGCAAAAGGGGTTTTGCGTTTCAGCTTGGGACTTCTCCAAAAGCTCTTGGGCCCTTGCTCCTGCGGCTTTTTGGGGGGTTTAGGACGGAATTTTGGCACCTGTGGGGTTTCTAAACTGCCTTCCACGCTGCTTCGGGAAATTCCGCCTAACGAGGTCACCCGAAACATCTCGCCACCCTTCATACCCAAACATCCCCAAACTTCAAAACGTCCAACATGCCCAACAAAACCCTAAACCCTAAACCCAAGAGAGAACCTGTGGAGCGCCATTGGCGCCGCCCTCGCTCGGAGCAGACTCCTGGCTCTGGCAGGGAGCCGCAAATGGAGAGCGAATGACTCCGCGGCCAAAACGCTCGCATTTCTGGCGTCTAGAAGATGCCCGTGTAGGACCAGCAGAATGTGTATTTATGCGCCCTGGCTATGTGTCGACAAAGCTGATCTGCAAGACTTAAACCTCTTTAAACCTGTAGCATGCATCTGTATGCGCGAAGATACATGTGGCATTTCATTTTATAACAGATAACATGTCACATCATATGATTCAGTGTTGCAGTAGCAATGTCAGCCTCCATGCTCCAAGGCTGGCTGGCTACCCAGAGGCTCCAAGATCCCTTAATTAAGGAATATACCTTACATCATATTAAGGATCCTACTATAATTTAAGGAATATTCCTTAATTAAGGGATGTTGGAGTCTCTGGGTATGTGCAACAGACCGCCCGGACCGTCCTTCCGCCGTCGCTTCCGGGCCACCATGGCCAAGAAGGTTGTGGAGTTCCAGAAATTGAAGGGGATCCTCTTCTTAAGGGGGTCCTTACGACAGAAGACCCATCATTCTTATAATGGTGATTATTACTATTATGATTCTTATTATGATTCAGGTCTAGGATGCGGGGGTACCTGACTCTCGGAAAGTAGGTGTGGTGGCATTGACCTGGCGGCTGATGTGTGGCACTTTGCCAGTGACTTCGGTGACAACTGCCCCTCGAGAGTGTAGGAAATGCAAGCTGGTGAGAATCTCATCCGAGACACCCTAAACCCTAAACCCTAAACCATGTCATGGGTCCCGATCTGCTCAGCTCAAAGAACGAACAGCTGGGCCCGAGAACCCTCCGAAGCCGTGGGCCTTTCCTTGAGTGGGGATCTTCTTCGTCGCACGAGTGACGCGTTGATCGTGCGACGAAGAACGAACTACACAATGTTCCCGACGCTTGTCATGAACAAAGTAACAAACATTCTGATGCTGACTAGAGCATCGACGAATACTGCACACATATGACATCCATGATACTATGCCATTGTTCATAATATACTGTCACAGAGTCAGGCTGAGTCAGGTATCCGCAACGTCAGTCCTCAAGCACCGAATCCGAGCCCAAAGCCCCAAAGCTCCAATAAGGCACATGTTCTCGTTCCAACCTCCTGCGCAGAGGTCATGGATGCAAGAGCATCCTGTCTAAACGGGACGGAGAAGTCCGAAGCGGTGGCATGTGCGAGCCAACGACATTAGCTCTGCAGGAGCTGCAGGTGCGGTAAATGTAATGAACGGCAAGTGGAGCACAAGGATTTCTGAGGAAAACTGCAGCTCCTGCACCCTTACGATAGTTTAAATGATGTAGGGCTTGCCACAATGCCTCACAAGCTGTCCGTCACGGGGCGAAGGCTTACCTTCCTGGTGCCACTGCGAGTGCACGAGCTTGTGCACGATAAAATCGTCCGTCTGCACCGCTAAAGTGTTTGATTCCTATAGCAATTTTCAGAGGCGTCGCGGCGCAACCAAGTGAAACACTATTCTACAGGCACTTCATGGTGGATTGCGCCTGGAGCAACCCTGGGTTCACTGGACTGCAGGCGCTGCCGAAAGCTCTTGGCGCGGTCTCTGCTCAAACGCGGGCGGCGCCACCAAGTCTCGGCCTGGCCCCCCCCCCCTCCGAAGGCCTTAGCTCGGCCAGCCGCCATAGCCTCCACGAAAGCAGGCTGTTGGCCAAGAGGGCTGGGGCTCTCAGGTTGTGGTCATATTTTACTACTATTACTATTATTATTATTGCTATTATTATTACTATTACTATTACTATTACTATTACTATTACTATTACTATTACTATTACTATTACTATTATTACTAGTATTATTACTATTATTATTGTGGTTATTATTCTGATTATTATTATGGGTTCAAGATCTCCGGCTTGTATCAGCCTTGAAGGTGATGTTATTGGCTCGTGCTTCCACGACGCGGAGCGTCCGAGCCCCAGCCTGGGGCTGGGGAGGCAAAGCCTTCTGGGTTTAGGGTTTAGGGTTTAGGGTTTAGGGCTTGGGGTTTCGGGTCCAAGTACCCATTATTTAAGGACTTTGGGGCCTTTTTGGGTACCTAAAACCATAAAAAAGGACTACTTGGACCCTTAGGGTTCTACTTGGAGCTTCATGGGTAGTTATAAGTTTAGGGTTTAGGGTTTAGGGTTTAGGGTTTAGGGTTCATGGGTAGTTACAAGTAGGGTTATAAGTCCCCTAATATGGGTTGTAACTATAACTACCCGGCTTATAACACCACTTATAACTGCCCATGAACCTCCAAGTAGCTGGAACCCCAAACATCTGCCCCTCCAAAACCATTTGACAGGATGAGCAGAACACAGCTGAAGCCGTATGACGCTGTAGTCACGTGCCCAAAGACCAGTGGAAAGAGAACATGCAGGCAGGCAAAAAGACGACCAGCAAGCCGACATTCAGAACACTCTCACCATCATACACACCGGCCTCCACCTCCACCACCACCACCGAAAGGTCCGGCTGGGCCTTTGCCGAAGCCGCCCTTCGGTGCACCTGGCATGCAAACTAAACAGCGTCTCGCCACCCCGTTTGCGCCAGCACATGATCCTTACAAAGGCGGGTGGCTCCAACCCTCTGAAGCGCACGGCTTGCTTGCCTCCGAAACCTCCTCCCGGCGGCTGGCTTCCGAAGCCTCCCGGCGGCTGGCTTCCGAAGCCACCCGGCGGCTGGCTTCCGAAGCCACCAGGAGGTTGGCTTCCGAAGCCACCAGGAGGTTGGCTCTGGAAGCCAGCAGGGCCCCCAGGACCAGGGGCGGCCCCGAAGGGATTTCCAGCCTCAGCAACACACCCTTCGTGGCAGGACAACCACCATCGAACAAGAACGAGGGAGAAAGCACAATCTTCTGCCTCTTCGTTATTGCAATGTCTGCTTCGCAGAATCTCTTCCATCTAGGACCGCTGATTACTGGGATTTGCAATACTCCAGAAGCCACCCACGGCCCAACCTTTTCCACACCTTTGCAGGAAGCCATTCAGTCCGTTTGGAAACACACGCAAACGCAGAGAGTCAAGGACCACAGAGCACTCGAAACTCTTTATTCATGCAACATGCAATGATACAGAATATGCAACATCGAATACAGCGTGGCATGAAACATGATGTGGCATGACGTGTCATACATGCATGTACGAGTTTCTATGAAAATGCATACCGATGCCCCCATGTTAAACCTCTACAGTGTGCTATACTTATTGTGCAGATGGTGCTACCTACTCACCGACAGTTCCCAGCAGCATGTGGAGATCGATCACGCCTTTGCTCATACTTCAGCACAAAACTAGGCTGTGAGCTCTCTGGGCGGTCTATATACTTCTGCACGGCTATGCACCACGAGCTTCAAGTCGTCCCACAAGTTGCTACGGAGGTGTTCGATTCCGCCAGGGGGCACCGCCGCCCTTGCCGAAACCTCCAGCTCCAGGCGGAGGCCCTGCAAAGGCGAACATATTGTGGGGATCGTACTTCCCGATACCGACAACCCAGGCATGGAGGAAAAGCATCCATGGCCCCCGGAAGAGAACGTAGCTATCATAACAATGATATGCCTTGGAAGGGAGCGTAGTGATCCTAACAGTGATATGCATTGCAGCAGCACAGAAGTAATTCTCAGCCTGTCTCTCATACATCAGGCTGCACGCATGGAAAGCAAGCAGGGTTGGTTTGCTTTTGCACAACGAATCGAAACAGCACTCCAGCTAAATCTAGCACCCTACCTGCAAGCACCGAGCCTTTTCAAAACCCAAGCCATGGAATTATTTGTAATTTCGTTCGCTCAAACTTCCGACACCTTAACTTTCCTCGACAATCCTTGAATAACAATTCAAGAACCACTCTCATCTCTACACAGAAACCTCTTTGTGCTGTACGCATATACCGTAGGTGTATACATACATATGTATGTACGCATGTATGCGTGTATATATATATATATACACACACGCCTGCATGCATGCATGCATGCATGCATGCATACATACAAGTATGCCTGTGTGTATATAGATATATACTTATAAGTATATATATGATATGTATATATATATATATAAGTATATATCTTTATATATATATATATATTGTGTATCTACGCCCTTGCGCGGATGGGCCTCCTCCCTTCTGAGCATCCCAGCCACCTGCCGAGCAAGAGCCCTCAGCCACTCAACGTCTTCCTAGGCCGAAGGCCTCGGAGGTCACAGAAGGTTTTGTGAAGACTAACGCTATTTTTTGGGCTCCTCATTAATTGGCCCCAGAAGCCCCTATACGAGGGTTGAATGCTTCGGCTTTCGAGTTTGTGAAGCTCAAGCTCTTAGGCACCGGACTACTATGCTGCTCTCGAGTTCTCGCTGCAAAGGCCACGACACTGACTCCTCGCCAGAACTGGGGTCCCAAGGCGCCACGAGGGACTGTGCTGTTGGAGGCTGATGGTCGACAAAACGAGCACGGGATCATACTTGTAGAATCAGTCTAGCTACCTCCGGAAAGATGCAAAAAGCAACGACCTGGATAAGACCAACTACCTGGACTATAGACAGATACACCGCAAGTCGAAGCACGTGTGCATAAATCCTGGGAAAACACGGTTAATACCCGAAACAGTGACAAAACATAGCGGCAGCAGTGGAAGCACATCTGGCTCACTCCGCCCACTCCTACAAAAACTCTGAGCGCCCCCCAGCCTTTCGGCCCGCCACCTTTGTCGAAGCCGCCCGTCGGGGGGCCTTTTTGTGGTGTGGTCTCAGGATCAAGCAGGAATGAGAGCTTCCTTTCAGGGGATGTTAGTAACTGTTAGTAAGGCGTTCAGGGTTTAGAGTTTAGGGTTTAGGGCTTCCTTTCAGGGGATGTTAGTCGGTGTTCATGGGAGCTTCTCCTGGGTTGCACAGGTCTTCATGGGCCTGTCTACCGCAAGACGTCTATCTCCTGGGTTGCATCACTTTTTGAGCATCTCTGACGGGGCGGACCCTAAACCCTAAACCCTAAACCCTAAAACCCTAAAACCCTAAACCCTAAACCCTAAACCGACCCGAGCTTGGGGCAACCCCCGGATTCGCCTCCATAGCCTCCAGGAGCCTGGCCGCCGAATGGATTCCCAGCCTGGGGTCTTCCGCCCAAGGGGGCCGAAGGTTTAGGGCTTAATGTAAGGGCCTTAATAATAATAGGCTCAATATAAGGGCCTTAATAATTACCTATACTATAAGCGGCCTTATAATAATTACCTATACTATTCTGGGTGCTGTGACCTTGAGAGTCTCCGCAGCTGAGGCATCGTGACTATGGTAGGTAGCAGCAGGAGGAGTAGCAGCGGTAGGACCAGTGTGGGAATCGTAGTGCCAGTGGTGGTGCCAGTGGTGGCAGTAGTTGTGGTTGTAGTGATGGCAGCGGCAAGTGGCGGTGGTGGTAGTGGTAGTGGTTGTGGTAGTAGTAGCGGTACTGATAGTGGTAGTGCTAGAGTGGTAATGTTAATAGTTGTAGTTGTCCTCCTCGTAGGGGATGTAGTAGTAGCAGTAGTAGCAGCAGCAGCAACAGCAGCAGAAGCAGTATAGAGGTAGCAGAGCAGCAGGAGCAGCAGGAGCAGCAGGAGTGTTGTCGTCGTCGAGATGTTGTCGTCGTCCCAGTCACAATCATCCTGCTCGTCAGTAGTCGTCGCAGTCGTCGGTCGTTGTTGCCGCAGTCGTAGTTGTCGAGGTGGTGGCAGCGGTAGGTACTGGTAGCACTAGCGAGAGCGCACAGGCAGTGGTAGTCATGTGACAGACATAGCTCTTGTAGTGATGCTGCCAGCGCATCCTCATAGTTACGTCATGTTGGTCCTGTTTTGTTTTAAGAAATATTTCCTCTCTCCTGAATCAGAAATCCTGGACAGGCATCTTGCTGGAGCCGTGTCCGGGCTGGCGGGCCAGGGCTACGGGTTCTGAGGCTTCCGGCACCCTCAAGTGTAAGAGGCTGCTGAGCAGGAGCTTCTGAGGACATATCTCTCTTTGAGACTGTAAGCCTGAAACCCTGAAGCCTACAGGCCCTACATGGGGGTTTCCGAACATAGGGGACCCTAATATAGAACCCTTAATGCCTTAATAGTAGGATCCTTATTATAAGGACCCCAAAAAGGTACCCCAAATTTTCGGAAACTCCTTACATGCCGAGGGACGGCTGGGCCTTTGCCACCGCCGAAGCCTCCCGGTGCTTGGCCTCAGATGTCCGGGAGTGTGGCGCTGCCGCTTAAGGCTTGTAAGGTCTGGGGTTTCAGGGTTTCGGGTTTAGGGTTTAGGGCTTAGGGTTTAGGGTTTCAGGGTTTCGGATGCTTCGACGAGTTCAGGGTTTAGCATCATAGTTTCAGGGTGTTGAAGGATTTATTGAAGCAATCAACAGCAGTACGAATAGTATTCAGAAACCAATGGATCCACCAGAAGTAGGTAAGCACACCTGAAGTGCGGTGCCATTCCATACGCTCGAGCAGCTCCAGGCCGCGGGCTCAAGTTGACGGCTGTATGCAGATGTGGTGCATCGGAATTGCGACGACGTGAAGATTTGGGGGTCTCTAGGTCGAGAATTCGACTGTTTCGCGCTGCAAGTGCCCGGGCAAAAACCGTCACCGACGCATCAGCCGAGCCCGCAGCTCCCGAAGCCACCGCTAGAAGGTGGGCCACCGAAGCCACTTGCAGGAGGACCTGGCTATGTGGGTCTTGGGGTTGCTTCCGGTTTTAGTGCTGGGTCTCGGGTGCGTGTGCAAGGTCGAAGGTCCTTCGGAAAAGGAAGAGCCTGTCGGTCTGCTTGTAGCCGCATCTACCCAGCCAGCGCCGAAAGACGCATCGTGCTGCAGCATCTTATTAAATCCTAGAAGCCACGTTCCGCTGCTCGACGGACTTGAGGATTTTCAAAAAGGCGTATCACTCAAACACGATTTGCGTTTGGACCGCTTGCTTGCAGGTTGGTTAGCTGTTGGCTGCCAAGCTGCTATTAAAGTGTATGGCGGTGCCTCGAAACGACCCACCACTGGTACACGTCGCAGTTGAAGCTCATGCATCCTAAACCCTAAACCCTAAACCCTAAATCCTAATGTGTCAAGATGTGTTTGCAAAACATCGAATGCCCCAGACCTCGGGCCTGATCCATGCAGTACGCATGTGGTACCACATGTGTCTTTAGACAGCACTAATAAGCCCTAAACCCTGTCAGTATCTCATGATCTGATTGCGAAGGAATCGGTGTTCAGAGTGCGGCCGAGCCACCGCCGAAGCCACCTGCATTGATTTCATGCATGGGGACAGGGGAACCCGCTTCCGGATGGCATCCGGAAGGGTTCGGGTCTAGGGTTGAGGATTTAGGGTCTCGGTTTAGAGTTTAGGGTTTTGGGCTTAGGGTTTAGGGTTTAGGGTTTAGGGTTTAGGGTGGCCTTGCAGGGTTTTGGGTTGCCGTCTTGGCTTCCGGGTTTAGGGTTTGTGGCTTTGCTTGCTGGGCTTAGGGCTCGGTTTGAGGCTTCGGGTCTCTGCCTGCGACCCTAAGCCCCAGAACCACCGGTTTAGGGCTTAGGGAAGCCCTAAAGCGTTGGGTTTAGGGTTTAGGGTTTAGGGTTTAGGGTTTAGGGTTTAGGGTTTAGGGAAACCCTAAAGCGTTGGACACTAAACCCCATGAAACACCCTAACTTCGATGGAAGCCGCGGATGAAAAAGTCCACAAGACCCGTAAAGCCCAAGACCATGCTAAGAGAACAGGAAGCAAGTAAGAACACCGAGAACACCTGAAAAAACATGCTGAAAGGATTTTGTAATTAATACCGATAAATAACAGTTTTGCTGTTACTTCATACTTAATACTACAATAATAAACGGACCCCGCTCCCTGCTCCCCGCCCACTCCCCCCTCCTAAACCCTAAACCCTAAACCCTAAACCCTGAACCCTAAACCCTAAACCCTAAACCCTGAACCACCCGGCCTTTGCTTCCGGAGGAGGAGCCAAAGGGGCCCGGGCCAGGAGGCCGAGGAGCCTCCAGGAGAGCAGCAGGCTTAGGAGCCCCTTGAGATCGGGTTTTAGGGTTTGGGGGTTTTAGGGTTTAGGGTTTCAGTAGTTTGCAAGCCCGCCAAAAGACCCGAAACCCGAGGCGGATCGCGGCCTTCAACAAAAACCTTAAACACTAAACGCTATGACCCTAAACCCTAAACCAAAACCCAGCACAGACCCGGAAACCCTACAAAACCCTACTCAAATCCTAAGGCTAGCTGAGTTTCGGTGGACTGGTGGACTGGGTGTTTGCTCAGGCTCTGGTCTTCGCCATGCATTTGAATGGTGACAAAAACACCAACGGGACAGACCAACAGCAATAACGATAACAATGACTACAACAATAACTAACTGCAGCAATAACAAAGAACCATTGACAATAAGAGGCTGTTAACAAGAATGATGAATAACCAGAGAACAAGAACAAGAAAGAGCACAAAACGATCAATAATCATAATCACACTGACACGGACACTTATCAATCATGCAAACCCCGAACCCTGAACCCTGACCGGCCCTAAACCCAGCACCGCCTGGCTCTGCGGTGGGAAGGTATCGCCACCGCCGCCGAAGGGATTGCCTCCACGGCCGCAAGGCTGGGGACCGAGGTCGCATTTCGAACCGCGCAGGAGCCGGGGCCTTCATTGTTGTGCATTGCAATATATCATAATATGAACCGAAACTTTGGGGTATATCATAGTATGAATCGGAACTTTGGGGTATATCATAGTATGAAGCGGAACCTTTAGGAATAGCAGTGGTATGCGTCTAGGCTTCTATATTCGGATTTGCGCGGAATCGACCCCGAGTCCGACGTGTTGAAAACAGCTGCAGCCTGCACTCTTCACAGCAGCGCACGTTTAGCGGGGGGGGAGGAGCGGGTGAAACATCAAAAAAAAAATTGATTGACATCAAAAAAATGACCCTGCGGCCAGCGGCCATCAAAAAAAAATTGCTAAGCATCAAAAAAATATTTGCAGACAGAGTAGTAGTAGTACTAGTAGCAGTAGTAGTAGTAGTAGTAGTAATAATAGTAGTAGTAGTAGTAGAAGTAGTAGTAGTAGTAGTAGTAGTAGTAGTTGTTGTAGTTGTAGTTGCAGTAGT